ACTGCCAAATTTGAATTGTGTGTACTCATCGTGTTCCTTAAGTCATTTTGAACATCTTAGAAACAAAACAAAATTTTAAAAATTAAAATTTGCAAATTTATAGCTAAGGAAATGACTTTTGCAAGCGCGTAATTTCTTTTGTTAGTGCCAAATTTGAATTGTGTGTACTCATCGTGTTTCTTAAGTCATTTTGAACATCTTAGAAACAAAACAAAATTGTAAAAATTAGAATTTGCAAATTTAGAGCTAAAGAAATGACTTTTACAAGCTCGTAATTGTTTTTGTTACTGCCAACTTTGAATTGTGTGTACTCATCGTGTTCCTTAGGTCATTTTGAACATCTTAGAAACAAAACAAAATTTTAAAAATTAAAATTTGCAAATTTATAGCTAAGGAAATGACTTTTGCAAGCGTGTAATTTTTTTTGTTACTGCTAAATTTAAATTGTGTGTACTCAGCGTGTTCCTTAGGTCATTGTGAACATCTTAGGAACAAAAAAAATTTTTTAAAATTAAAATTTATATACTGCAATTCGCAATTTACAAATTCTGACAGCTATTTATGTCAAGAACGGTAGAATCTAGGCTTGCTACATACTTGGAATAGCTCGAAGGTCCGTTCGTGACGTCAGTGCTGAATAATAAGTAAAACTAACTTCAAGGGTTTTAATTGTTAATCAACGCTAGATTGTTGAACTAAAACTAGAACTAACCCAGAACCCAGAACTAGAATCATTTGGGTTTAGCCGTCTTAAAAGACGTTCGGCTGAACCCGAATGATTCTAGTTCTAGGTCTAGTGTTAGTTCTAGTTTCAGTTCAATGAAAAATATGCAACAAACTAACGTTAAATAATTATTAAAGCTAGAACTAGAAACATTCGGTTTTGAAATGTGCGTATTAACCATGTTACAAAGCATATTTTACATATTCTAGAAGCAAAAAAAAATTCAAAAATGAAAATTGTAAATTTAGAGTTAAGGAAATGACTTTTGCAAGCCCGTAATTTTTTTTGTTACTGCCAAATTTGAATTGTGTGTACTCATCGTGTTCCTTAGGTCATTTTGAACATCTTAGAAACAAAAAAAAATTAAAAAAAATTAAAATTTGCAATTTTAGAGCTAAGGAAATGGCTTTTACAAGCTCGTAATTTTTTTTGTTACTGCCAAATTTGAATTGTGTGTACTCATCGTGTTCCTTAGGCCATTTTGAACATCTTAGGAACAAAAAAAAATAATATAAAGCCAAAATAACTTTAAAAAGCCGAAACTTTTTAGTTCTAGTGTTAGTTTAATGAAAAATATAAACGTCTTTTCTAATAAGGTCCGTTATATCGAGGTTTTAATATACTTTTATATAAATTTAGAACTTCAAACGGAAATTATACATGAATATGTTTATATTAATTTGCGCCTGGTTTAAAACTTATCAAAAATTCGTTGTATCCACTTTTAATCTTAAAAGTAGTAACTTAAAAAGAAAAGAACAAAAAATAGCCACCAAATTAAAGAGAAAAAAAACAAAATCTTATTCAACTAAATCATATTTATAACATAACTTTACAAATGAAGAAATTATACAAACGAAAGCACCTCATTTTGGAAAAATAAAAATGGTTTATCAAGGTACACCGTACAAAAACCTCTTAATACATCCCCCGCTTCATCTAAAAATAATACTGACCTAATAGTTTCACAATTATTAGAAATTAAATGTACATTCTCTCAAAGTAATAACCAAACCAATTTAGGTCCATGAATTTCGGGGGTAATACCCTCTTGGCGGTCTCACCTGGTGACTGGGTGGGGGCATACTATGTTGGTAACTCCAAACATTCGCAACCCCCGGGTTATAAAACGGTACAAAAGTCCCTCGAGGTCTTGGCAGTCCCATTTCCGTAGGGAACAATACTCTAGGTGCAAGACCTCGATGTTTTTGTTGCTCCAAAGTAGGTGGGGGAGCCATCACAGGTGGCATCGTTGGGGGCCTTATCGGAGAAGCCATTGTATGAGGTAAAGGAGGTGGTGGGACGCTCGGTACAAACGGAGCTACATTTTGCATTGGCGGCATCCCCCGTAAAACGGGAGCTGTTACATAAGGGGCCCCAACGGGATATTGGGGAAGTTGGACGAAAGGAGACGCTACGAAAGGGCCAAAGGAAGGCACATTGGGACCCACGGGGGGCGGGTGGGCGAAGCTGAAGACTGGGGGGGCCGTGGTTGTACCCGGCCGGAAATGGAAGCCCGGTTTATTGGTAACCGTCGCGCTCGGAGCGTGCCTTTTCGATGTTGGCTCAAAACTATCTCGAATCCTGTGTAAACGAGAATCAATGATATTCTTTACGTTCATATCCTTCTCAAATTCTTTGTGGCGTTCGATGCTGTTGCGTTTTCGGGTATCACCGCCTTTTCCACGACGGAATTTCCGTTCCTCTTCGTCATCGGAAAATTCGGCTAATTCAACGGGAACCTCGTTGTCCCCGGTCCAAGAAGCATCACTCCCTTTAGTTCTACAAAAAAAAATAACAAAAAAAAGCTAATTTCTTTCAGTTTCTTTTTTGCGTTCTCATTCGTTTCTAACTCTTCAAATTAATCTCAATTTAATAAAATAAAAATTTAAATTCCCAAATAAACGAAAACAAACTCCATTCATTTAAATTTTCCTAATCTAATCAACGTCTGAAATGAGTTTTACGTAAAATAATTAAAAAGAATATTTTTTTTATAAAACGCGAACATACTGCATGAGTTTATCCAAGAAAACGTATTGGGTGTGTTGTGTTTTCGGGGCTGAATACACAGGAAGACCTTTTTTAACATCTAAACTATCGATTTCTTCTCTGTTATTAAAACGAATCACATAAACTGGATGTGTTACGGGTCCCATTACATCGTAGACATAACCCAAAGGCTTTTTTCCGTTTTCCACGAAAAGTAATGTGTCCAAATCGTAAGCTGGCATGTTCGGGAGAGAATCCACTGTAACTATATTTTAAAAAGTTATTATTTGTTCTTTAACACTAGAAAGCTAAACTATCGTAAAAATTACGAGTGTGATAANTTTCGATGTTGCAATTTGTATCGATAATTTTCAAAATTCGCTATAAAATTCATTTCTTGAAGGATCCTTGTGGAAATATCACCAATTATTAATTAAAGTATCCTCTTTTTAATGCAATAAGCCGTTTTGAAAAATCGCTTTTAGTTTTTGAGTTTTGAATTTTTGAAATGATCGAAAAATTTTTCGAATTTTGCAATTTTCGCCGATTAAGTTTTAAAAATTCGTATAAAATCCACTTCTTGGAATATGAGTATGAAAATTTCCCAAAGTGTTAATAAGAATGCCCTCTTTCCAATGAACCAATATGTTTTGAAAAATAACTTTTAGTTTTTGAGAAAACAATATTCGAAGTTTTGATAAAATTTTCCATCTTGCAATTTGTATCGATAATTTTCAAAATTCGCTATAAAATTCATTTCTTGAAGGATCCTTGTGGAAATATCACCAATTATTAATTAAAGTATCCTCTTTTTAATGCAATAAGCCGTTTTGAAAAATCGCTTTTAGTTTTTGAGAAATAAATTTTTGANTTCTACTTCTAGTAATAAACTAGGGGACTTTAAATATGTGCAAAAGTGTCCAAAAGCTTTCTAATGGTCTCTATAATTATCAAATAGTGTTTAAACGATTTCTAGACAGTTATAAAGATTTTTAAAGATGTCCAGAAGTGTCTAGAAACTTTCGAATGATTTTTCGCTCGTCTCTCAAGACGGCTAAACCCGAATGTTTCTAGTTCTACTTCTAGTAATAAACTAGGGGACTTTAATATGTCCAAAAGTGTCCAGAAGCTTTCTAATGATCTGTATAATTATCAAATAGTGTTTAAACACTTTCTAGACAGTTATAAAGATTTCCAGAAGATTTTTGAAGATGTCCAGAACAGAGATGTGCAGCGAATGGTTCACATAGTAAATCATATTTACTGATTCGTTGTTTAAGTGTTGCCTTCATTCGTCAATAGTTCCGTATAACGTATTGAAATTTAAAATTTTGCAAACTTCAGAATATTTTGAAAACGTTCTGGTCATTTTAGATAATATTGCACAAGTTTAAATAACTATAGACAAAAAAATTTTGTAAAGTTTTTCCCAATTTAGATAATTTTAGACACATTTTGACAATTACAGATATTTTTGTTCATGTTTAGCTAAGTTTAAATAATTTTACCTAATCCCATTATGAAAATTAAATTTTATATATATAGTTCGTTTTTCTTCTATAATACTTGTCAATTTAATTTTTTTAGGGTTTCTGTTGGTATTATCAGGACCCTTATAAAATTTATGTTGTTTTCCTGATTTTTAGTAACATTTTCAGTAACTAAATGTTGAAGTTAAAATACTAATACATTTTTAGATAAATACGATTTTAACGAAGAAATAATTATTTAAATAGAACAAAACACCTTTTCTAGGTAAATAAATGGCAAATAAACACCCCACAATATTTATTATGCACATTTTTTTTTTGAATAACGAAAGCTCAAACGTCAGTGTGACATATTTATTTCAAAACATGATAAAACAAAACTCCCTGTTAATTTTATCAACTTTACAATTTGGCAGATATTATAGAAAAAAATGAACTATACCTATTTCACAAATTGTCAAAATTTATTTTATTTTTGTTAAAAAAAAAGGAGAAAAAAACAAATTAGATTTCAAAAACAGCCCTTTTGACGTATGATGAATACGTTCTTAATTTAGGGTTTATTTAAAAAAAAACTTTTTTTATATGATTATTTATAATTAATGGTGAATTTAAGTTTGGATTAATTTATTTATAAGAAATTAAGCCATAAATAAGTTAAATTTAACAAAATTAATGTTTAGTAAATTTTTGAACGTATCCTTCTTTGTTTACAGCTGTCATTTATGGTTAAGNAAAAAAAAACGTTTTTTTTATATGATTATTTAAAATTAATGGTGAATTTAAGTTTGGATTAATTTATTTATAAAAAATTAACCCATAAATAAGTTAAATTTAAACAAAATTAATGTTTAATAGATTTTTGAACGTATCCTTTTTTGTTTACAACTGTCATTTATGGTTAAGTGTCAAGTTCGAGCTTAGATTAAAAGGACAATTTTAAGGATTAATTGATAGGTAGGAAATAATATAAACAATTTTTTAAGTAATTCATAAACATCATGAGTGACAAAATCGATAAAATGATCAGAATTAGATTATTTTTCTTGGTAACAAACTAGATTTCAAAAACAGCCGTTTTGACATATGATGAATACGTTCTTAATTTAGAATTTATTTAAAAAAAAAAAAAAAATTTTTTTTATATGATTATTTATAACTAATGGTGGATTTAAGTTTGGATTAATTAATTTATACGTAATTAAGCCATAAATAAGTTAAATTTAAATAAAATTAATGTTCAATGGATTTTTTAACATTTCAAGTTCGAACTTGGATTAAAACTACATTTTGTGTTTTGACAATTTCTAATTGTCAATTCAAATTTCTATTTTGAAGTGTTATGATTTATGATGTTACCTGCGTTTTTTTTTTCTATAATACTTATCAATTTAACTTTTTAGGGTTTCTGTTGGTACTATCAGGACCCTTATAAAATTTATGTTGTTTTCCTGATTTTTTAGTAACATTTCCAGTAACTAAATAGTTGAGGTTAAAATAATTATTTAAATAGAACAAAACACCTTTTCTAGGTAAATAAACACCCCACAACATTTTTTATTAACCTTTAGTCTTTTTGAATAACGAAAGCTCAAACGTCAGTGTGACATATTTATTTCAAAACATGATAAAACAAAACTCCCTGTTAATTTTACCAGCTTTACAACAATTTGGCAGTGCAATTTGGCTTTACATTGTCAAAATTTAGTTTATTTTTGTTAAAAAAGAGGATAAAAACGCGAATTCAAAAAATAGCATAAAAAGCACGTTTCATAAGACTTAAAGTACTCATTCAAAAACTTGTTTTTTAATAAACTTGAACAAACTTGTACACTTTGAACAAGTTTAGACAAGTTTAAACAATTTGAGATAAATTTTGCGCTTTTAAATAATTTTGAAATTGATATACATTGACTAATTGTCTTCATCTAAAAGTATTTTTTATTAAATTCGTAAATTTTACGATAGTTTAGCTTTATAGGGTTAATATTTTAAGATCATACCTAATCGATCAATTATAGCTGCCACATTTCCCATATGAACACATTCTCCTTCAGGGACGTTTATATCAGTGTGGGATAAATCAGGAACCGGAGGTAAATCATCAATACTTAATTCACCTAATGTCCTTACTGTTTCTCGGACGGTCGTTTTCTCCACGAATTCAACGCTTTTAGCTGCACATTCATCATCACTACAACTAAAAATGTATTAATTTAAATAAAAATTATTTAATTAATTTAACTTACTTATCGGATAATCCAAGAGATTCATACGATTCGGAATCGGAGGAAGATTCGCTTTCGGAACTTTCATCAGTTCCGTAAACCAAAAGATTACACAGCGATGAATTCCCTCGAATAACATCACTTTTCTCGTTCTTTTCCTTTACACAGCCATTTGATGTGGAATTTTCATTCGCCGTATCCACATTATTGTCTTTGCAATTAGCACTAAACGTAGATGTCTCTGTGAGGGTATCATCAGAGGATTCCACCTCGGTACTATTCCCGTCCGAATCTTCCGTCGAACTTTTATCGCATTTTAAATCAACGGCGGAATCATCCGCTTTACTTTCTTTTTTAACGGGAGGATTTAATTCTTTAACGTTTCCTTCGGAATCGGACTCCTCAACGAGGCTCGTTTGCTCAATTTTTTTCGTAACCTCATCAGCGGAATCGCCCATTTTTTCGGAGCACACGTTGTTCGTGACGAACGCTTTTTAATGGGAGTGTTTCGATACGTGAAGGATGGGGTTTAATGGGTGTAGAGTTTAGCGTTAAGTGTAAAGGTGTTTTTACCTTTGAAATGAATTAAATTTGACGATATCTTGGGCACATGTTTGTTAGACTTCAAAAACAGCCATTTTGACATATGACGGATACGTTCTTAATCGTTCTTAATTTAGGGTTTATTTAAAAAAATGCTTTTTTTATATGATTATTTATAATTAATGGTGGATTTAAGTTTGGATTAATTAATTTATACGAAATTAAGCCATAGATAAATTTAATTTAAATAAAATGATGGTTAGTCAAAAAATCTATTAAACGATTTTTTGAACGTATCCCTTTTTGCTTACAGCTGTCATTTATGGTTAAGTGTCAAGTTCGAGCTTGGATTAAAAATACAATTTCAAGGATTAATTGATAGGTAAGAAACAATTTAAACAATTTTTTAAGTAATTCATAAACTTCATGAGTGACACCATCGGTAAAATGATCAGAATTTTATAATTTTTCTTGGTAACAAATTAGATTTCAAAAGCAGCCGTTTTGACGTATAATGAATACGTTCTTAATTTAGGGTTTATTTAAAAAAAACCTTTTTTTTTGTATATGATTATTTAAAATTAATGGTGAATTTAAGTTTGGATTAATTTATTTATAAAAAATTAACCCATAAATAAATTAAATTTAAACAAAATTAATGTTTTATAGATTTTTGAACGTATCCTTTTTTGTTTACAACTGTCATTTATGGTTAAGTGTCAAGTTCAAGCTTGGATTAAAACTACACTTAACGATTAATTGATAGGTAAGAAACAATATAAACAATTTTTTAAGTAATTCATAAACGTCATGAGTAACAATATCGATAAAATGATTACAATTTAATCATTTTTCTTACTAACAAATTAGATTTTAAAAACAGCCATTTTGACGTATGATGAATACGTTCTTAATTTAGGGTTTATTTAAAAAAAAATATAACCCATAAATAAGTTAAATTTAAACAAAATTAATGTTTAATAGATTTTTGAACGTATCCTTTTTTGTTTACAACTGTCATTTATGGTTAAGTGTCAAGTTCGAACTTGTATTAAAAGTGCAATTTTAACGATTAATTATAGGTAAAAAACAATTTTTAAAGTAATTAATAAACGTCATGAGTGACAATATTGATAAAATGATTAGAATTTGATCATTTTTCTTAGTAACAAATTAAATTTTAAAATTAGTCGTTTAGACATATTATGGATACGTTCTTAATTTAAGGTTTATTAAAAAAAACGTTTTTTTATATGATTATTTATAATTAATGGTGGATTTGAGTTTGGATTAATTTATTATAAAATTATTTATAAAAAATTAAGGCATAAATAAATTAAATTTAAATAAAATTGTTTAATAGATTTTTGAACGTATCCTTTTTTGTTTCCAGCTGTCATTTATGGTTAAGTGTCAAATTCGAGTGAAATTTTTAAGGTAAGAACAATTTAAACAATTTTTTAAGTAGTTCATAAATATATTAGTGGTCAATTTGATTTTCTACTCTCTACATACATCTTTAGGATTAAAAATGAATTTAATTTAATTTAACCGGAAATAAACAGAGATTTTAAAGGATGAATTTTTTTAAGGGGGTTTTTGGAATACCTCGTTCATTCATTCATCAATTATTATATTAAATCAATAACATCATACTTTGTGCGTTCATTCAACAGTTAAATTTTATAACCCACAATTAGCACAAATTATCGCCAATATACACTTTGGTTGACGCGATTAACTAATAATAATACCGTAATGAAATACGCATCGTCCGATCGGACAACAAATATCACAAAAGAGACATAGACATAGTGGTCGAATTACAGGTGAGGGTTCGTGTTTTTTTTTTAACGAGAGAGCAAACGATACTATGCTATGAATAAGATTAAAAAGTAATAGTGTAATGGGTGATTTTTTTATTATTAGGTGTTAAATATGCGGCTCTTAAAACAGTATAGTTTTTTTTTTAAATAGACGAAAAATTTTGATTATTGCCTTAAAAAACTTGTTTCAAATATTTTTGTACTGTTGTACTATTTTTATATTTTCACAATATTAATGGTCCATATTCTACAATATATATCATTTTGATTTACTTCCATAAAAGCCAAGTTCATTTTTATCATTTAATTTAATTTAATTTAAGGCAATTTAAGAACCGAAACAATTTTCTAAAAAAAGTTACGTACCAACCTTGCGCAATCCTAAACGTTAATTAAGTCTTTGCTTCTTAACAATTAACATAGAAAATAAATAAGGTCATCTGATATCTACATTATAAATACAATCGTTAGTATACGTTTTTTTGTAAATTAAAGGCTAATGACAATAAGTTAAGGGTGCGGTTTCTTTTTGTTAATCAGATTCGGTTGAACAACAATTATGGGCTGGCGAATTCGGGGTGGTTTCAGTTTCTTCCGAATCATCATTCACGCTAGATTTAGAGATTGCCATGTTATCGTTGGTGTCTTTTTCAACGACGTCATCCGAAGGAGCGGAAAGATTGTATTCTTCCGCCAACTCCACCCAATGCGCTCTATTTATTCGCACTCCCTCTGCTAAAGGTTCTAATTTGTCTGATAACTCAGCAAATGCCTATAATATAAATAAAGGTTATAAAAATTTGGGTTAAGACTATAAATGAGTGATTTACTTGATAAATTGGTAAGCAGATTGAGTCGATGAATCCGACTTGCATTAATGGTAACTGATCTTCTTTTTCCCTATTCATGATATCCTTAAAATTAATTTAAATTAATTATTTAAGTCAAAAGAATTCTTTGATTACTCACAATAGGTGTAAGATTTAATTTCTCCCGTTCCATGTCGCCCTGTTCGAAAAATTCCGACGAAACTAATTCCGCAACCCTCTTCTCGACCTCCCAAGGTTTCGTGATTGCCGCTAAATCGCAAACTGTCATTAACATCGCCCTGAGCAGTTCCCGATGGTCGTCTTTAGCCCACACCGGGCCGTTTCTTATTACATTGAAAAATATACCTCGTTTTCTAAACGTTAATTCAATCATTTACGATTATTTTTCATCAATTAATTAACTCACCTAAAATACACAGCCAAATCGGTACTTAGAATTGCTTCCTCCAATACCTTTATCACCCCAGAGTAATCCTCTGGCGAAAGGTTTGATAATAATTGATTCCCTGGCGAATTTAAGATCATTATGCACTGATCGAAATGATGATGTTCCATTGTTGAGGTTGAATATAATTGGGCTAAAGGAGATGAAGCTCTGAAAAAAAATTATTACTTACAATTACTTAGTATTATTTAGAAGTCGAAGTAGTGGTTCCAGTACTTAAAATTAAATAAAGTTTTCTTTAATAAAAATGCATTACTTAGAAGCTGAGGCAGCTTGCTGCCAAGGCAGTAGTTCTAGTTCTTAAAATTAAATAAAGTTTGCTTTACTGGAAATGGATTACTTAGAAACCGAAGCAGCCATGCTGCCGAGGCAGTAGTTTAAAAAAGGACAACCCGGTTGAAATCGCACTGTCTTTTCCACTGTACAGGATGGTTCAAATTCGATGTCCGAATAGGCTAACTCGAAAACTATAAGAGTTAGAAGAAAAGTAGCTGACATGTCATGATCTCGTTTTTCGAAAAACTGCTAATGCCGAAAACCTCATAGCGCTATCGTCTTTTGTTTTTCCGTTAGACGCCAAAATTGAAAATATCGTAAAACCCGCAAATGTAATTATCTTGGTTATTATTATAGGTGGAGTATTATAACTAAGACATTATATGGACACTGTTTTACAGAGAATTTGATGACGTAGTCAAAAAAATTTTGTCGGTTTTAGATTTTGAGATATCATGAGAATTTTCGTTTTTTTAAATAGAAACAACCACTGATTATTCGCTTATTAAATTCGTTATTTTTTTCTGATTACAAAAATATAAGCTTCAACGGGTCTATTTGTTATTGTTTTAGATTAAAACTAAAAATAAACTTTTCTGTTAGTGTTGTCGAAGAAATTAAATTTACAGTTTCCTGTAAATTACGGTTCTATAACTAAAAGTTAAAAAAACATATTTCTGATATTTGAAACAAATATATTTGTTAAACTGTTTAATTTATATACAGCCTGATTCAGAGTAAGCGCCTTATTTTTTTTAGCCATACTATGGGTACTACTTTTAAAATATTTGGCAGTAATATGTTTTAGGACACTCTATACACGATGGTGATATCACATTTTCATTGGACGAATTATTTCAAAATGGCGACTGTCAATTTTTTTTTTTTAAATTGAATGCAAATATTTTTTTTTTNTTTTTAAATTGAATGCCAATATTTTTTTTTTTTATTATTGAGATCCTAAAAACATTCCTTATACGAATAGTATTTTGTTTTTCTTAAAAATTCATTTCTTTCCCCATCAAAAAGCACACATTTTAATCTAGTAGCGCATGAATGTTTTACACTCGATGTTATTTTATTAAAATGTTAAGTTGCTTTTTGATGGGGAAACAAATGAATTAAAAAAAAAAACAAATACTATCGTAAAAAGAATGTTTTTAGGGTCTCAATAATAAAAAAAAATTTTGGCATTCCATTTTAAAAAAAAAGTTGACAGTCGAAATTTTGAAACAATTCGTCCAATTGAAAATATGATATCACCATCGTGTAGAGAATGTCCTAAAAGATATTATTGTCAAATATATTGAAAGTAGTACCCATAGTGTGGCTAAAAAAAAATAAGGCGCTTACTCTGAATCAGGCTGTATATTTTACACAAAAGTTGGAATAGATTGCATTATATCACATTTTTTATTACGATTTAATATTATTTTTAAACGACTTAATAAATTATCGATAGATGGCGCTCATATGTTTATTTTTTTTAATTTAAATAAACATAGCAACATTTGTTTGTATTCAAAAAGTGTCAAAAATTTTCTGAAGTGTCACTTTATAAATCCTGTTTTTAAGATCAATTACGAAAATTTTGAAAAGTTTGACATTTTAGAATGTTACATATTAAAAGAATTATTTGTTTTTAAATACCAGAAGTTATCTTCGTATTTAATTGTTAACTTTTTAGATTTTACCTACCGCCCTGTAACTTACAGGAAACTGTAAATTTAATTTCCTCGACGACACTAGATAGAAATTTTATAAAAAAAGTTTATTTTTAACTTTATTCTAAAACAATAAGAAATAGACCCGTCGACCACCCTGTACAACCGACTTTTGATACCTAGTGAAACTTTAGGTATTTAAGGATGGAATTTTACCCTGTTTGCCAACTTTGAAAATTAACTTTGGTGATTTTTCTTTTATATACTAGTTTTAATTAGCGTAATTTGCATTATGTATTTTTATCATTTCAATCAAGAGAAACCATTCTTTGTTTTGTAAAATAAGAAAGTAGGTAAAAAAACTTACTTTTAGTTACAAACTTTCAATTGATATTACTCCAAATTAAATCTTTAATTATGAATTTAGATGAATACATACAGGTGTCTCACGTAACTGGTTCGTTAGAACTTTTTTATGTTCCACTAATTAATCTAATAATTTAGGTTCATTTGGAACTTTCGATATAAAATATTTTCAAGATGGCCGCCACTTCTAGTCCACCGGAAATAGACCATAACTTCGTTATTTTAAATGGAATGCTATAGTTTTTATTTCATCGTTTAAATGTACAGGGTGGGCAAATTTGGGTGTTATTATAGGCTATCTCAGAAACTATAAGAGATACAAAAAAAGTAGGTACCATGTTCCGGTCTCTTTTTGCGAGACTAATCCAATCCCGTAAAGACCAAATCTCTATCTTCTTTTGTTTTTAAGTTATAGCCAAAAAGTTCAAATTTTAGTGATTTCAAAAAATGCTCATATTTCGTTTATTTTTGAAATTAGAGAAATGGGGTTAATGCATTCTTAAGACACTTTTTTGACTAGAATATACTGCCGTTGAAAAATTTTTAACATAGCTGATAATTTTTGAGATATAACATAAAGTTGTATTTTTTTAAATACAAACTATACTTTATTATGATGTTACCGAAAAGAGCATATTTTTAGCTTTCCAATGATGTATCGCACGCATGATGTTTCTGCGGAAAATAAGCGTTATTTTTCAATTTTTAAAATATTAAAGATTAAAATTCAAATTTTTAATTACAGTTGGCGAGGAAAACGCTAAATACTACTTAGTTACTATAGCAACGTGAGTTTGTTTGTCATTTCATTCATGAATTTTGCGAAACGAGTTTCCCGTTTAAGAAGTTCCGCATAATCTTTAAATAAAACGATAAAATTAAATATAGAATATATTGGAGTCCGCTTTGAAGATGATACATAAGTCTTAATATCCCCATTCAAACGGTGTTTCAATGGAAAGTCCGCTCCCAGTTTATGATTCCTAATTTTCCTCTATCTCACCCAATTTCAAAAGAAAAGATTGCTGATATGAAAAAACTTCTACATCTTATGTTTGGGGAAAACTGGGAAAATACTACCGAAGATTTCATTCATTGATACCGAACTGTTCTAATCTTACAACCAGTAAGTTGAGAGAAGAAGATGACAGTTTATGACTCTTTAGTTCCTGAAGTTGTCCATATTTAATTATTCATTAATTAATACATTTCTTGTATTTTTAATAAACAAACTTTAAATGCTAATCATTTTTCATTGGTGAACAAAGTCAGGGATAAGATGCTGAGAAATTTAAATTAACTATTCAAAGTTTTTATTCGTTGGTACAAAACCAACTTATCCTGAATAATGGTACAAAACCATGGTATTTACTGTCCGGACCCGCCTACTATAATCAAAATTTTGAACATTACTATTTTCGAATTGAAAATTAACGCTTATTTTCCGCAGAAACATCATGCGTGCGATACATCATTGGAAAGCTAAAAATATGCTCTTTTCTTTAACATCATAATCAAGTATAGTTTGTATTTAAAAAAACACAACTTTGTGTTATATCTCAAAAATCATCAAGTATATTTAAAACTTTTCAACGGCAGTATATTCCACTTAAAAAAGTATCTTAAGAACGTATCAACCCCATTCCTCTAATTTGAAAAATAAACGAAATATGAGCATTTTTTGAAATCACGAAAATTTGACTTTTTGGCTATAACTTAAAAACAAAAGAAGATAAAGGTTTGATGTTTGCGGGATTGAATTAGTCTCGAAAAAAGAGACCGGGACATAGCACCTACTTTTTTCGTATCTCTTATAGTTTCTGAGATAGCCTATAATAACACCCAAATTTGCCCACTCTGTACGTAAAAAAATAGGGTGACTTTGATAAAAGTTATTGGCACTTAGCGTTTTTCGTTTTCGAGTTATTTTGGTTTTAAGCTTTTTTTGATAAATTTCAGTATGCTCTTTAAAAGCCCATATCTCAATCAACGTTCATTCAGATTGTCATTTGTTGTATCGGAGTATCTTATACAGGATGGTCAAAAATTGAATTGCTGTTTCTCCATATTCAATGGCGAGAAACTCGAAAATTTTAAATGGAACGCCCCATTTTTTTAGCCTATCAAAAAGGGAATTTAATTCTCTATAAATTATCTATAAACATTCCTATACCTATTTATTGTAGTTTACCTCATATTGGAAAATTTATTAAAACATGCACGAAATACAGGTTCTTTTATTAGAAAGCTATGGAATTTTGACAGTTTCTGGTCCATGTTTGTATTATTGTTGTATACTGAGAGAAACAATATAAATAAATTGTATTTTCGACAAAATCACTAAAGTTTGAATTTTAAAGTTTGAACTAGAACTAACACTAGAACTAAAAACATTCGGGTTAGCCGCACGTCTCTCAAGACGGCTAAACCCCAATGATTCTAGTTCTAGGTCTTATGTTAGTTATAGCGCTAGTGCAAAACTAGAACTAACACTAGAACTACAATCCAAAAATATACGACACAGTGATATCTAATGCTAACTAGCGCCACCTACCTAGCACTGTCAGTAGAACTAACATAAGACTTAGAACTAGAAACATTCATGTTTCTTTAATTGTAGTTTCAAAAGAAAACTACCTGTCTTAACATTCCTTCACGCTATAATTAGGGTTTCAAAACAAAGCTGACCTATCCTAACATTCTTTCCCCTGGATGATTAACATTTCAAAAGAAAACTTACATTTCGCAATATTCCTTCCGGGTATGATTGATATTTGTAAACAAAACTAACCCTATCCCAAGGATAGGAGACTCTAACAGGACTGCTACATCCATTGTTGTTTTGTAGCTCACTACGGGTTGGTTGGTCGCACTCTACGTCACAGTATTTGCCACGCCCAGTTAACTGTCATTGAGTTCTATGCGTTTTTAGAGGTTATATGATAGACATTAATACGTCTAAAAAAATAAAACTTCTAAAATAATATGAATATGTCTACGATATAGGATATAACCTCTAAAAGTAGACAGCAAACGCATAGAACACAACAACAGCTGACTGGGCGTAGCAACTTTGTCACAACAATAGATGTAACAGTCCTGTTAGATTCTACTGTTCTTGACCCTATCCAACATTATGGTGCTTCGGCCTGTAGCGGCCTTGGCTTTATCAAATAAAACTGCAGATCTGAACTGTTGATCAGGTGTAGTGATAAATCTTTTGACGGATTATGCTGTCTTGAGAGACGATTGGCTAAACCAGAAACTTTCTAGTTTCAGTTCAATGAAAAGTATAAAATAATCTAACGCTGAATAACAACTAAAACAAGTACTAACACTTAGTGCATAAATGACTATTTTGCAACAAATGTTAAGGGAAAAGATAATATGTTATGTAAAGCAAAATAAAATCATTTTTTGAATATTATGTACTTCAGGAATATGGCCACCATCATTCTATACACTTGAGATATTCCCATAAAAATTGTCAGGAAAGTTCGGAAAAAGGTCTCTAAGAAACTTTAATATAGCCCTAGCTGTATGACAAGTTGCTCCATCTTGTTGGAAATGAGCACTTGCTGATGTTATGGTAATTGCATGACCATTCAGAAAGGTTGTGCTGAGGTGGAAATGAGTTTTGACGCTTTGAGGACTTTTTAAAGTCTTTTTTCTTATTCTTTGGCATAGTATTTTTGAGTTAAAAGTCCATACAGAAATGGCTTTCCTATTTTACTATAACAGAATCATGAGGCGGTGAATGAATATATCGCCAGAATACGCGTTGTTTGACATGAATTTTCTAAATAAGGTGTAACAGCAAACTCAGAATAATAATCACTGACAACTAACTCAATATTCTTGAGTTTTACTGACTCAATATTCAAAAAGTGAAACTTTTTTCTGCTTCTCTACAGGCGTTGACAACTTTAAATGTCAAAAAATGGACAGTTTGCCATTTGTTATGAAGTTATTGGGTATATTCCAGACATTTGATACACCCCTGTATAAAATTTTATCTTCACATTTGTTGCAAAAAAGAATTAAATTTGTTTTATACTTTTTTAATAGTTTTGCATTACTTAGAAAAGCCATATTATACATGATGACGGTAAGATTACTATAAAAGGCAATGAACTTAATAATAATCTTAATTTCTTACTTTATTTGAAAGGAATTGTTGGTTCCTCTATGATCCAAATCATGGCTTAGACAACCGATTATCAAAGCTAAAACTTCAATTTCTCCGAAAATATTCCACCAACCAGTAGCCTAAAATAAAAAGAAGTTATAAATTTAATTTTTTGAAATATTTTTACTTACTGTTAAAATGGAGAACATCATTTGGGCAACATTAAAAGCGTGCCGCCAATTATGATAGGTAACATTACGATAATTTTTCTTAACGGATAACAACCACCGACAGAGGACCTCATAGTCCATGTGGAACCTCTCGACTAGATCAAGATCAAGGAACATTCTTATACATGCCTATAAAAAAAAATTTTAACATCAAATTTATTCTAATTACCACGAATTATTTACCGTAAGAGTTTCATCATCAGATAACCCAACATCATCGAAAGAGAACTCGTGCAAACAAAACGATACCGCAGATGGAACCCTCATTTGCTAAAATAAAAAAATAATTTATTATCCTAAATAAATTTGTAATTAAATTAAAAAGCTTACTCTAATTCTTTGAGCATCTTCTATACTTGATGTTGCGTGATAAGATAAAACTTCAAGAGTAACGCTTTGTTTGGCAATGGCCACAACAGCCTTTTCATACATATGGGTGTTATGAATTCCCATCCCACAAAAAATAGCAAAAGCCTCCACAAAGTTTTCATCATTTTTGGTAAACGGCAAATCATTAAATTTATTAATCAATTGGATAACGCCTATAATTTCGCACGAAGAATTTTTAATAGCCATACAAAGGATGCTTTTATGCTGAAAGTTGCTGTTTCTATCCACGCTGGGATCAAACCGGCTATCATCGTACGCATTAACAATATTCACAGTCTAAAAAATAACCCAAAAAGTGCTATTTTAAGGGATATGTTAAGTAATTAATAATTTTAAAAAAAATTACCTCTCCCCTCGCGGCAACATATCCAGTAATCCCAATATTTATAGGAAACCGACTTTCAAATGGGCTAAAAATGAATTATTATATTTAAGATTTAGTTTTATTATTCAATTAATTAATTAATTACCTAGTTCTTGATTCGCCTTCTTCGCCGCAAAGGTCGCTCGCTTGGAAATCAAACGATCGCGAAAAACTCCTTTTAGACGCTTGATGGGTCAGTAGAACCTAGAACGAAATAAAAAGGAGTGGATGAAAAATGAATTTTTGAAATTCGAAATAAAATTTGTGTTTGAAAAGCCGAGAGCGCGACTGATTAATTATGAACGTCCAAAGAAGCGGGTACAAAGCGAACGAAAGGAGACGGGTTTTGTTTCCAACAAACGACTCCGTTGGGATTTCCGCGAAACGTCTCGCCCAAATTGCAATTTGTTAGCTTGGCCGTGGTACACAGTAAAAAATTTAATCACGGTTAATGGAACCGTTACTTCACTTTTTAAATAAACCAAACACATTTGTTCGACTCGTTTTACCACCTTTACTTTTTTATTCAATGAATTCATTTCCTTTATGTAACGTTCGTGTTAGAATATTTTGTTCAATACAATTAGAAATAAACAGTTAGTTTTTTGATTAAGCAATAATGAGTTATCTAAGTGTATTATACTCTATTTTTTAATTCGGTGGAGTCTTTTCAAATTGAAGCCCCAAAAAGGAGGGGAAATTTATTAAAAGGAACAATTTGGAGTTAAAGATTGTCAAAAATCCTTTATTTTGATACCAAACTCGATATATTTCCGTTAAAACCCAAAAAAGTTAGGTTAAAAACCATCAAACGTCAAACTAAAAAATTCAATTGTTTTTTTTTAATTAAAAATTAATATCTCCGAAACGATTAGGGATAAATAGGTGGTGTTTGGACTCTTTTCATAAAATTTTT